CTCTCCGTAGTGGGGACTCCATCTCGGAATACCTTGATCTATTTATAAGTAATTGGTACCACACTCAATCACTGGACACGTCTTTGGGGAGTTAACCCCTCTGAACCTCAAATTTTCCACCTGTAGAATGATAATAATGGTATCTGCCTGCGAAGCCCTCATCAAGGTTAAGTGAAATAATGTCCCTAAACCCCTAGAACAGTGAATGTCTAGTTTGTTTGTTTGTTTTTAAAGATTTTATTTATTTATTTGACAGAGAGAGAGAGAGAGGCGGGGAGAGGGAGCAGCAGGCTTCCCAAGCGAGCAGGGAGCCCAATGCAGGGCTCGATCCCAGGAAGCTGTGATCACGACCTGAGCTGAAGGCAGACGCTTAACTGACTGAGCCACCCAGGCGCCCAAGTGTCTAGCTTATAAGTGATGTTGTGTGTTGCTTTCTTTCTTTCTTTTTTTTTTTTAAGATTTATTTATTTATTTTAGAGATACAGACGGGGCGGGGGGATGAGAGAGAGGGAGAGAGAAACTTAAGCAGGCTCCCTACTGAGCACGGAGCCCACATGGCTTCGATCTCACGACCCTGAGATCACGCCCTGAGCAGAAAACACGAGGTCAGACACTTAACTGACTGCGCCACCCAGGTGCCCTTGTGTGTTGCTTTCTTTTATAAACATACTTCTGTAGCCTGTATTTGTACCTGACATGGATCTGGCAAATAGCTATCTCCTGATAAATGGTGAATACATATCTGTGTGAATGAACTGTCTCACCAGTGATACTTTCTGTAACGTCATGAAGTCAGAAATGATACTTTCTGTAGTGATACTTACTATGGGGCCAATAATCAGTCATTTATTGAGCACTTCCTGCTGGTCAGCGGCTGTGATCCACACTCACACACATCACTTCACTGAGTTCTCGCAATCGCCTAAGAAGGTAGGCCTTCCCTCAGCTCCACTTTACACATGGAGGGCTGAAATGAGCAATCTTCTAGGATGGCCCAGCTAGCAAGTAGCACAACTGGATTTTGAGCCCACATCCTTCTGATTGCAGAGGCCATGCTCTTAACTGCTAGGGCACCCTGTGCAGTTATTTTAGAGCATATTTAAAATACAAAAGGCACTTTTGACTTCTTTTGTTAAGAAAGACTTCTTGATGAGGCTTCCTGTTGCTCCCCAGAACAGCCTCCCAGTTGGACTGACGGCTATCAGGAACAAGGGGGACTGGTCGAGCTACCAGGCACTGGCCTTGAGAAGGTGGCTGAACAAGTCATTGAGTCCTGTTCTGAGGAGCCAGCAACATCAAGCTGGTGGGGATGCCAGGCATGCACGGGAGGAGGATCCTGGCTGCTGGGCTGCAGGGTCATCTGGAGTAAAAGAAGTAAAAATGCCCCAAGGGCAAAGGAAATTATTCCAAGAAAGGGAGCTGGAGGAGTGGTCCTGGGTGCCAGTCCTACAGTGGCAGGAAGCTAAAACCAAGGGCATGGGGAGTGGCCAGGAGCCCCGAGGCCAGGGGTGAGGGTCTGGGGTTGGGATGCAGTGAAAGGTTCTAGACAGGCTGTGGGAGATACCAGGCTGTGGCAAGCCTTCTGACTTCCAACAGTTCCCAGGGATTTGCTGGGCTTGTTCCTCTGGGATGTTTCCATTTCCGTGTCTTCTCTTTGGTTCTTTCCCATGATGCCCCAATAGGAGCTTCTCCTTTCTAATCCTGCCCCATGTTCAAGGCCCCCTCGCACTGGACCATCTCCAGGAAACTGTCCACGCACCCCACGCCCCTGGTCCATTCTCCTGTCCTACCTCTCCAGATTCATACGCACCTACAATCTGGACTAAAGAACTTTCGAATGCTTGCCATTGTTCCAATATTTTGATTTTTTTCACCCCACTTAGATTGTAATCCTTTCTCAAGTAACAGCTAAGATTGTTTTCTTTAATGTCCGTTTCAGCATAAAACAAATGTTCTAAAAGCTCCTAGTAACTTTTACTCTGAGGGTTCCCAAATGGAGTGTAAAAATCCCTGAGAGCTCAGGGGTGCCTGGCTGGCTCTGTCAGTTAAGTATCCAACTCTTGATCTCGGCTCAGGTCTTGATCCCACAGTCGTGAGTTCGAGTCCCACACTGGGCTCCACACTGGGCATGGAGCCTACTTAAAAATAACAATAATAATAATAATAAATTCCTGGGAGCTCAGAGGTCGGGAGTGGTTTCTTCTTTTAAATGAAGACAGTAATACCAACCTCAAAGAGTTGTTTGATGGATTGAGATAATGGGTATAAGTCTGCTGAGTTGAAAAGACAATCTAGCAGAAGAGAAGGAAAAGGCAGTTGGAACTGATAGGAGCCTAAGGCAGAAGGAAAAGAAATTCTATGGGGGAATGCGAAGAATTGCTAGTGAAATTGATGAAGTCAGTGTCTCCCGTGTGTCAGGCACGGTGCTAGGTGCTTCATCTATATGATGTACAGGACGCTGGTGAAGAGCACCTGTCCTGGACCCAGGCTACTGGGTTCCAATCCCAGTTCCATCTGCTACCAGCTGTGTGAGCTGTTAAGTTATTTAAAATGCCTACGGTGTATTTCTTTAACTTTAAATTGAGATAATTTAAAGCAGGAGTTGGCAATTTTTTTTTTCTGCAAAGGGCCAGATAGTAAATATTTCAGGGTTTCTGGGACACACAGCTTCTGTTAAAATGACTCAACCCCGCAGTTGTAGCATGAAAGCAGCCATAGACTCTATGTGAGCAAATGGGCGTGACTGTCTTCCAATAAAACATTATTTGCAAAAAAGGGCAGTGGGCAAGAATCGGCCCACAGGGAGTGGTTTGCCAACCTCTAATACAGAATCTCCCTCATGAGGTCCAGAGGACTGAAGAGCTAATAAAGCTTATGCTCTTAGGACAGCGCCCTGCACACAATAACCACTCCACAAAGGTTAGCTGTTATTATTATAATGAACCTGTGCAATAGGTGTTGGAATGCCCTCTTCCAGGGAAGAAAACCAAAGTTCAGAAATGACTGAATAACTTCTCCAAGACCTGGCATCTTCTATGAGTGGCAGAGTCAGACTCAGAGCACAGACTTGTGGGACTCTAAAGTCTATAGTTGTCCACTGCGACTTTTGTCAACTTCAAGGATCTTATCAGAACCGAGACCTTATTTCATAGACCCAAAGGGAAACTTGCTCTAGGCCTGTATGTGCAAGTGTTTTGGGACTTGACTCAGACACGGGACACACACTGAAATCAGGCCTGAGATCCAGATGGGTATTGTCGGAAAAGTCCCCAATTTACTTCCTTTCAATCCTGATTCCAGTCAGTGGAGAACAGGTGTGGAATCCGTGTTCACTACCCTCTTGGGCGGTTACACAGTCTCAGCCCTCCCTGGCCTCGGCGTCGGTTTCCTATGACACCGATGGATCAGCTGCCTTTGGGGAGCCCTAATTAAGTGCACAAATAGGGCAGCCTTCCCAAATCCCACATTAGTTCTGCTTTGGAATGCCAGAACTTTTCGACCATGGAAAAAGGCTTCATGCCCTGACTCTTAACAAACCCAGCAAGTTCAAATGCATTTCTGGGGTGGGGGGTTGGGGGTCAAGAATCCCAAGCTGTTATGTGAGAAGGCAAGGAAAGAAAGGGCTTTTCTTGAAAGGGGGAAACAAAGGGCATGCAGAAATGTCACCAAAATGCCCTGCAAACCCTCTAGCTTGCCCCAAGTTGTTCTTTTGTCTGAAAGCCTTGAAACTGTGATTTATGTAACTCTTTCCTCAGGTCAATGATTGGCTTCTTAAGCCCAAGACTATGGAGCCAGTGACAGCAAAGATTTCTTTCCATATATCAAATACATGGAATAAAAAGAAAAAAAGAATCCCCGTTAAATGGCACAGACTTGGTGCATTTCAAAACTAGCCACCTTTCAGTTTTATCACTATTTTTCTCTCCTCTTCTTCTCCTTCCTCCTCCTTTCCTCCTTCCACCCTAAAGCCAAGTCTATACCACCCGGTCTATTCTAGGGAAAGCCTTGCTGGTTCTGTAGCTGAGAAGACACCGTAATGATGGGTTTTGTGCATGTGGATTTAACAGCAATCAGCTGTCTGCTTTATGTTTAATTCCACATCTTCTGGAGTAAAAACCATTTACGCTGCAATCCCCCAAAGGCACTGTATGCTGTCTACTTCCAGAGTTCAGTGGACCACTGTGTTGATATATTTTCCCTCATCAAAGGATGGAAAGTGGCTTGGCCTTCAACTTGACTTTCCTCTAAGACAATGCAGTGGTAGAAGCCACTGGGCTGGGAGTCACACAGATCCATCCACCACTAAGTCTTTGAAGCCTAGAATCTAAGTGGATCTTCCGGGCTCCAGGCTGACAGATGCAGCCCTTCCACTGGCCGCCATAGGCTTTTCTGCCCAGGGAAACGACAGCCTCTGTGGGGCTTGCTGTCTCAGGAGAGATGAAGGGAACTTTAATTAGGGTGGCCATAGTTTTATTATTATCCCAATAAAATTCACCTTTGAGTCCTAACACTTTTTTTTTTTTTTAAAGATTTTCTTTATTTCAGGGAGAGAGAATGACAGAGAGAGCACGAGAGGAGGGAGGGTCAGAGAGAGAAGCAGACTCCCCGCTGAGCAGGGAGCCCGATGGGGACTCGATCCCGGGACCCCAGGATCATGACCTGAGCCGAAGGCAGACGCTTAACCAACTGAGCCACGCACGCACCCGAGTCCTAACACTTTTAATGATCGATTATTAATAATTACACCAGGACATAAGACATAGGCTGGGTCTGTACGGGATGTATTATGAGACTGACGCGCAGTCCACTGCGCCAAGAGGGCCGCTTATGGGATGTATTAGCGCCTTTCCTCGGGGGCTGTCAATGGTTGGGCGGTTTGGGGAAGTAATTGTCACCAGGCTCTGTTCCCTCTAGAGTCACAGGAAATGGGGAGGTTTCAAACTTTTTTTTCTGCAAACTTTTTTTTCCATGCCCTTATTTTGTGTTGCCTCTTCTGACAGACTGCACCAGAATTCCGACTTCACAAAAGTGAAGATGAACCTAGAAAATACTGAAGCATACAACAATGCCAACTGTATGCTGCATGGAACCTTTCTGATACTGGGGACTAGGGGAAAAGGCTCCTTCCCACAGGCAGGAAGGGCTGTCTTCCTGTAAGGCCGAGCTCGGGAGCTCCCAAATTTTGGACCAGGAAGATAACCAAACCTTCTGGAAACCAGCTTTTTATTTTGCCACATAAGGACCTTAAAAATAAAATGTTTAAAAAAAAAACCCAACCCCTCAACATTTACTTGGACCATTATGCCATAATGAATAGGAGATCTGATTAAAAAAAAAAAAAGTTACTGTGATCTCAGAATAGATCCATTTACATTTAGCTTTGTTAGAAACTCAATACACTGCTCTTATTCTTTCTATTCCCATTGGCTAGTGAAACTTTGTTAAGGGCCTGCAGTGAGGGCCCGCTTCATGGGTGTGTCCTCTGTGTTGTTGCCCAGGGCCCCATGTCAGGAAGAGCCCATGCGTGGGGCTTAGTGATCCGTGGTCACTGTCTTGAAATTCTTAATCATTTTATTTTTGAATCTGTGCTTTGCAAGTGAAGGCTGATGGGACAATGGAGTGTGGGCTGGGGGGTCTGCTGCCGCCTTTCCTTTCCTAGAGCTGATTCTTGACTGTCTGCTCCCTGCCTTCTGCCCTAATCCACATCCCACTGCTGACCCTGCATCTCGGGGGTGGTGACAGGGCTATATGAGGTGGGGGGCATGCAGGAGCAGGCACAGGTGTGGGGAGAGCCAGGCCAGGTGACGAGCCTGGGGCTCTCAGGGTGGGGCAAGGCAATGGCTCTCCCCGCCACCTCCACGCCACCGGGTGAGTGGGGGGGGGGGTCACTGGGAAACTGGAACCCCCTGGGGGTCACCTGTCAGCCAGGAGCCAAGGCAGCAGGCCTGTGGGAAGAGGAGATGTCCTTGCCCCTGGCCAGGGCCCCCCATTCTCATTTGGCACTGGATCCCACAAGTTATGCAGTGGGTTCTGTCTGTAGTAGGCCTCAGTGACATCTGAGAACTACCGACTACTCACAGACGCTTATCCCTAAATAGCTCCCCCTTCCTCTCACCTGTGAGTAGACTCTGTGATTCCCAGACTTTCTTGGGGAGGGCCAGCTTCCCCTGGGGCTCAGCACTGGCTTGTTGGGAGCTATTTTATACTTGGCCTGGCCTGGGTGGCAAACTGTCATTTTTACCATCCTTCCCTGGTGGGCGGCACTTCACGGTTTAGAAAGCACTTTTCGCGTGTGTGCGTGTGCGCGTGTGTGTGTGTGTGCGCGCGCGCGCACTCGCAGGCTCATTAATCTCACTTTCTCCAGCTGGGGGAACCTGAAAGAGTTTATACTTAGGATTTTCACACAAATCTAGGTTCAGGTCCTGACTCTCTCACCTTCCAGCTCTGTAGCATGGAGCAAGTGATTTGCCTTTCTCTCAACTTCAAATTCCTCAATTTGTAAAGGGAAATATTTGCATCTACCTACCACGAATATGCTAATTTACAGATTAAATGTGGCTATATAGCCAAGTGACAGGCGATCAGTTAAGAGATGAGGAATGATGCCCCAGGCATCCTCCTGGCTGAGGGGACTGCCCACTGTTCCAGGGGCCAGCACTGCCCTAAGGGAAAAGCCCTGGATAGGTGAGTGGCGAGAACTCTGGAAATCAGAGAAAATGCTTCTCAAGGAACAAGATTTGAGCACACGGGCCTAGTTACTTTGACAGGTGAGAAGAAGTGCTGAAATTGGGGGTAGAGTAGAAAGCATCGAGTATAAACACAACCTCCTCCCCATCGCTCCCACATTCCTGCCCTGCCTTTTGGAGAGGCAAGCAGACCTGTGATCGCACTGGAAAGGATCCGGAGGTAGGGCAGCATTAGACATGTTTGGGATGAAGGCCCTGATTCCAGTCTCAGGTTGTGCCTCTACAACCTTGGGAACATTGCCTCCCACTTGGGAACCAAGTGTCCTTTTTAAATGCATTAGAACCAAATGTCTTTTAAGCGCATTAGACTAGATGACTTGTTCAAACTTATTTTGGCTTTGATAGAGAAAGGATGGCTGCAGAAACATATTTTGTAACACGCTGGGACATGCCTGTGGAACTAGGGTGGGCCCTGTCAAAGCAGTGGCCTCTCGTCCAGGGATGCTGCTGATTCCTGGAGCAAGGCTGTTAGGTGGGGCTCCGCAGTGGCGGATGTCTGAGGATTCCCGCATCTTCATTCGTACCCAAGGCACATGCGCATCCTCGGAATGGGCTGTGACTGACTTCGTGATTCAGCCATCTTCATGTGGGGTGTTTCAACAGTCACCTCCAAACAGAAGGAACACCGTGGGCTGTTGTGACGGGAATTCTGGGGCATACTATTTATGGCTGTGTTTTGGTTTACCTTTGGCCTAGTACACAGGGTACAGTTGGAAATGGCCTCAGCTGAAAACTCTTTTGTCTTTCAGGGCAAAATTTTACATGCAGCCTTTTGGCTCCAGGCCTCTAGTGCCCCTGCCCCTGCCTCCTCTAGTCTCTCGCGGAGAAACAGGGTCATCCCCAGATCCTCTGCTCCCTCTCACTTGGCCTTTGAGTCATGTGCAACAGAGGCAGGACATATATTAACAGCATCTCATGAAGGATTTGGGGCCAGACAGACCCAGGCTCAAATTCCAGTTTTTCCACTTTTTAGTTGTGTGACCCTGAGCAAGTCACTGAACCTCTCTGACCCTTAATTTCACCAGGTAAAAACCGGAAATAATAGTATCTACCCAAGAGGACTGTTTTCAGAATTAAAATGAGATGCATCACTGCAGATAGATCCTGATCGATATGCTTAGTTGTGTTTTTCTCTCTGCCCTAATCATTTTGGCTTGTTCCATAGAAACCAAGCTTCTGCTCCAGCTGCACCAGAGCGGACTGGGCTGGGGATCTGGCGGTACAGCCATTCCTTCTGCCTGGGGAACCCCGTCTACAGGCAGGGATCCTCCCGTAGATGGACAGGAGACATGAGTATCAATAATAGCTCATTTTAGTAAGCATTTTCTATGTGCCCAATTTATTACCATTTCCCTCTTATAAGAAGCCTAGAGGTAGGTACCATTATCCATCCAGTTTTACAGATCAGGAAATTGCATGTTGGAGAGGTTAAGTACAAGGTCCCAGGGCCAAGAGTGGTACAGGCTGAATTCTAACTCAGTGTCTGGACTCTAGAACCTTCTCTTGCACTCACCAGCCTCCCCGTATGTTCACTCCTGTCCTTTTCTAGAATCATCACCATGGTAGCCACCACTGATTGAATACGTATCATCAGTACAGACGTTATCCCATGGGACTTTCCCAGCAATCCCATGAAGGAGATGTTTTCTCACCCATTTTACAAATGAGAAAGCTGAGGTCAGAATATGTAGGTCATGCAGAGTCAACTGGCCATGAAAGGAGGAGATGGAACTCAGACACCGTATATGTTCTCCTTGTAGTTCCTTGAACACTATACTATGGGGCACCTGCTTTATTTATTTATTTATTTTTATTTTATTTATTTATTTTTTAAAGATTTTATTTATTTGAGAGAGAGAGAATGAGAGAGAGAGAACACATGAGAGGGGATAGGGTCAGAGGGCAAAGCAGACTCCCCGCCGAGCAGGGAGCCCGATGTGGGACTCGATCCCGGGACTCCAGGATCATGACCTGAGCCGAAGGCAGTCGCTTAACCAACTGAGCCACCTAGGCACCCTATTTATTTATTTTTAAAGATTTTATTTTTTTTATTAATTTGACAGAGAGACAGCGAGAGCAGGAACACAAGCAGTGGGAGCGGGGGAGGGAGAAGCAGGCTTCCCGCCGAGCAGGGAGCCCGATGCGGGACTCGATCCCAGGACCCCAGGATCATGACCTGAGCCGAAGGCAGACGCTTAACGACTGAGCCACCCAGGCGCCCTGGGCACCTGCTTTATAAACATTAACTCTTGTAAGAGCTCCATGAGGTAGGTTATACTAGAATTCCCATTTTACAGATAGGAAGATGGAGGCAGAGAGAAATTAAGAAACTCCCGCAAGGAAGAGTGGCAGAGCTGGATTTTGAAGCCATGCAGTCCAGCTCAAGTGTCTGAGCTCCCAGCCTCTAGCACTATGTTGATATAAGAAGTGAACGATGCCAGGCAAGGTGAGGGGAAGTGGGGAGGGTTTCAGAAGCAGAGGGAATTATCTCTGCATGAGTAAAAGGCTCAGTGAGCCCAGGAACTACAAAAGCTCTGGAAGAAGGAACTCTCCACCCACATGGATTGAAGCAGTGCCCTAGAGCCCTGGCTCTCTCCTCCAAAACGGGTCAGCCACCCTGGAGAATTTTCCAGCACTGAGCAATGGTGTAGGTGTTTTGTTTCCCTTAGGCCCATGAGATGCATCATGAGGAAATTGCCTTAGACTCTTGAGCAAGCTGATTCCACTATTCAGCTACAAAATCCTCAGAAGAGATGGAAGTCAACAGTTTTAAATGACCAGTTATATTTAAATATCCAGCCGGGGAAAAAAGGCCTTTTTGTCAGGAAAGACAGAAACAAACATGAATTGAGTAGTGACCACATGCTGAAACGTGGGAGTTGTTAAACCTCATAATAACCTTTGAAACGGTGATTCACCCCATTTTGCAGAGAAATAAACCAAGGCACAGAGCAGCAAAGTGATGTTCCAAAATTGAGTGGCAAGTAAAGGACCCTGGATATGGTCCAAGGCCCATATATACGACTTTAGTTTGCATGCTCTCAGCTGGATCTCTGCTGCCATTCATTTGCCTATGACTGATCCATATGGTTTTAGAATTTTTCCGTAATTAATGGTGAAATTACCAAGAATGTCTGCATAAACCCACAGACCATTCTGCTAACCTGGTGTGTTCTGGTCTAAAATGTTAACATTCTGAAAAATAGTTTTAGGAGAAAAAATACTTTACAGGGAACATTTCCAAGAAATCCCAAAGTCGTAAAGACAGAGAATAGCAGATGTGAGTATATGAAAATTTAAAACTCCTGCACAGGACATCATAAGCAGAGTAGATGGTATGGGACATATTATAAGAAAGTCTTCAGTATATGTGACAGGCAAAAGATGGATATACAGAGCATATAAAGAACTCCAAATCAGTGAGAAAAAGGCAAATAACCCCATAGGAAAATGAAAAAAGGATATTAATAGGCCATTAACAGAAAACAGAAATCAAGTGACCAAGGATATAAAGAAAATGTTCATTCTTACTAGTAGCAGAGCAAAGGCAAACAACAATGAACAGTC